ATATATATATTTTTTGTTCTTATGCCAGTTAAAGAAAATGGGGGTGATCCTCCGGCAAGTGGACAAAGAAAATAATAATTCAGACCAACGTTCATTCGTGTTAAAGCATGGCTCGCATTTGATAATGCGAGGCTACACCCAAAGGGATTGGTTCCACTCAGTGCCTAAATGTGCTAAAGCAACAGCAGTAAGAATTAATCTCACTTTCAGGCTCATTTGCTGAAACATACATTGTTGATATTTGATATTTGGAAATTGGAATATTGTGTGTGCTAAGATGAACACAAACACAGCTACAGCCACAGATGCAATATTTTGACTTTATTTCTATGTATTTTGTTGTCAACTTAATCAATTTTTTTTTAGAATTAGAATCGATAAATTCAAAATTGAATGAAGATGATGAAGGGCACAAGAGTTAAAAATTTTCGAGATATATCTACAATGTGTATTTAGTTAAAAAGTTTCTAGGATGCTAATTTGTATTTCAATGCAATTCGACACACGGCTTTCTGCAAATTTATCTTCGTTGAACACTTTCTCTAGATGCAAATCCTAATAATCGGGAACCACACGTGAAGAATTAGAGGACGCTCCACTCGATCCAACCCCTAAGCGCCTATCCCACTCATGTTTCTAACAAGATAAAGCAATCAAATCCTCATTTGTAAATTTATTTCCATTCTCGTTGTCGTGGACTATCGAGGGAATTCTATGTGTACAGGGAGATCATTGTAAGGAACAACTGTCTCGAGAATAACCACATCATTTTCAAGAGTTATCTCCATTGTGTTCCAAAATCATGGACTTTATATCCCTTCCATCGGAATTTACGTGTTCACCCTCGGCGACATTCTTCCTCACTAAAGTCAAGCAAAAAAGAGTTGTGTGCATTTTATTAAATTCAAATAGATAATATACTTTAGCATCAGAAGTAACCTTCATATGTGAAATTGGAATGGATGAATATCATACTGAAAGGGATCGACTTTCAACTTATTTTGTAAATCATGGTACATTTTCGCATATGATGTACTCGGTGTTTGAACTTAGAATACCACTACGTATATCACTTGTCCATTTTCATATCCATCGATATTTTTCATCCAATTCGAAATTATCAAAATAAAAAGTCAGGATTACAATCATATCTGTACGACGAAACATAATTTTTAATTATAAAACAATAGTAAAAAAATCAGCACAACCGCTAGGCAACAGAATTTTAATTAAAAAAATAGTCAGAAAGTCGACATAACACCGGCCCAGCCGACTGGCTGTGTTAATTGCCAGCTGGGCTACTGGTTTGAAAGAATATACATGCAGATGAATTCTTTTCTTGTTTATATTTTTAAAAAATTATAGATCTGCTAAAAAAATTTATCTACGTGTTAATTTATGTCGAAATAAGATTTATCGATTAAGAAAATATATGAATTTAATGAAAACGAAATTGAACATACATAAATATACTTACCAATTCGAAATGTTGGATATAAAGAAATATTTTATTGTTTAGCGTTTGATAAATTTCTGAAATTTTGAGATTGAAGTAAATGAAAAATGAGAGAGTTTTTATCTTTGTTGGAATAAACAGATAAGAAAAGTCAGCTGATTTTGAGATTTTAATTGGAAAATGTTTGATTTTTTACTTAATAACTAAAATGGTAGTATTGTCTTTTAAACAAAACAATATTTTTTAATTGTATAACATATTTAAGGACATCTTTGTCTTTTAACACCCGAAAGACTATCGTGAAAATATGTAATTGTTGAAAATCTAAAGTGAAAATTATGGAGTTCGTCTAAACCAAACTTAAAATTACCTTAATAAAAACTGAGTTCTCTTTTACATTTATTGAGAATATTTGTTGTTCGAAATCAAAATATTTTCCTTTCGAGAAACATGAAACTGTATAGTTGGAAATGTGTTTAGTGCATTTGTATGTATATATAGGGCAGGAAGTGGCAAATACATATAGTGAAGAAGTCGGTTTGCAGATATTTATTCATATGAAATCGGCTAAAAAAATTTTATTTTTTATTTTATTTTCTGTGTATGATTTTCATTGGAAACGCGTTTCCTGCATTTGCATGTACTGTTATAATAATATAGTGGAGTCGGCATGCAGATATTATCTTCATAGGAAGGCGGGG